CCCCAAAACCCCAAAACCCCAAAACCCCAAGTAATTCATTGTTGAGAATAAATTCAGAATTATATTAATTGAGATATTATTACGATGAAGCATCTTTTATCAATCATTTCTTAAATGATAACTATTCAAAAGCATGTCTAAATATTACATTAAAAGCTACAAATCTTACTTAACAAATAGTTTTAATTTTCGATGCTGTTGTTATTCAAGTAATGATGAGAAGGATAATGCTACGATAAATCAAATGGAATTTACTTTGAGAATTTCTAGTAATTATTTTGGAAATTTTGATTTTCTATCTATTTCAATTATTAATGATCATTTAACTTTTTCAAAGGATTTCTAACGTTGTATGAGAATTAGTTTTTATAAGGTGATAGATAATGCAAATTGTTTCCTTAATATGAGTAATCGAAAGATTTATCAGCTATATTTGGTAATGGCTAGATTAAAGAGTTTCTATTATTTTCATTAAATAAATCTATATTATCTTGAAAGGTCTTTTGTTGACTGCAATTAATGTTATAATTTTTCTTGTAATTTCTAGAATTAATTATATTGCTAAAATACACATTTTGCTATGGATCCGTCTAATCTTGGGCTTGAAACTATAAACCTCGATTTGAATCGAAACTTCTTGAGGTTAAATTTCTTTACTTTTTGAAATTTTTGTTTTGAGAAAACTAACCACTATTTGGATTTGAAGATTATTATTATCTTAACTTGGTATTGAGCATTGGATAATTAGTGTTATCACTGTTTACTCTAAAATTATTATGATCATTTAACATTTCATTGCTTCTATTTGGAAGAATTTCAGAATTTTCTTCAATTTAGGGAGTATTTTTAATATCAGAGATAAGTCCATCTATAATTTTCTAGATTTTGATGCTAGTTGAGAAATTAATCTTGTTATTTCCTTCAGAAGTTGGTAAATTAGAGTTAAAACTCACTAATATATTATTTATTGGATTTTTGAATATGTCATCGATTAATATTCCTTAATTAAAAAATGTCTTCATTAGAATAGTTAGCTGAGATCCTAACTCCTTTAAATATTCTTAAACTTTATCCTTGATGACTTAAATGGCATATTGATGATTATCTTTTGCTAATTTGAAGTATTGACTCAAATTATCCTCAGGTATAGTTGTCTGAGATTTTTCTTGAATCTTTAATTTTTCAGAATTCATATTCATATTAAGTATTTATTGAGTTGCAGTATTTGTGATTGTCATTTCCTTTTCACCAATAATCATTTATTAGTAATCAGCTGGCTTGAATTGAATTTTGTGACTTGCCTTAACCTTAGGTATTTATAGTCTCTCTGTCTGACTAGCAGTTCTCCCAAAGTCTTCTTGAATTCTTACTTTATTACTTTTACTTCATTTGCTCATTTGACTTGGAGTCTCCTTATTCATCAAAGAAGCAGAATCACTATCAGAACCTTTTAAGTATGAATATGCAATAGATGACTTCTCATCATTCTACTTGTTAATTTTAGGTTATATATCATTTGTTTAACTCATAAATATTTTATTTTTCTTTAAAATATCAGTGCCTATAAACCCCTTTATGGAAATTGATTATCTTACCTAAAGCAGATTTTGCCATTTCTTTCTTTGCCACTCTTGTCTTCTTCTTTTTTAATGCTACATCATTCAGAAAACTTCTTGGTATTATATCAACACTGAATTCTTTTTTATCATTTTATCCAAGTTTCTTGATAAACTAGTCAAATGCATCTTCTTCTTATTCCTCATTGTCATGTATTATTGTTAATTCTTTTTCATTTTTTACTTGCATTTGAGATTAATAGCTAGTATTCTAATTAGGCTAATGTTTTAGCTGTAATTTTTAATTCATTCCTTTAAGTATTAGTTAATTTAAATAATTTTTTATATTTAATAATTTACGAATATTTAGCAATAATTCTAGCTAATTTTTCGGTAAGGGGTTTTGGGGTTTTGGGGTTTTGGGG